AGTTATGGTCATGAAAATATGAGATCTGAGCAGTTACTAGAGATTCAGTTTGGCCTGGTTAGTTTTCTCTTTTCTCTTCTCTCAAACATTTGGTTCAGCATTAAATGATATCCATGCCTTATAAGTGACTGAGTATAAAACTGCCAGAGACTCTGGTTTATTTTCTCAGGGCTGCGTGAAGCAGAAGGGAACAGTAGGAAAACTCATATGGGAGCAGGGACAGACACATCACAGCTCAGTGTTCATCTTTAATTTTTATAGAATCATGCTTTTTCAGGGATCATCCAAATGCACACAAGGGTTTGCATTAGGCTGCTTCCTTTAGCAAATATATTTGTACAAATACATCTGAGCTGTGCACCTACATAAATCACAGTCCTCAGTTAAAAAGCACACACTTGCATGCCTGTGACAGAAACCACCAGGGGCAGAAACCAGCACCTAACTATGATAGAATTTCAGAGCTGTACTACCAGGGGAGCTAAAGATCTCTGCTGTATCGTCCATGGGCCTGCAGCCACTGGAGCAGTGATTCTCAGCCAGGATCCCATGAGATCCTTTCAAAGATGACAGGGGGTTGGAAGGGGAGTGCCACACAAAGTTAGCATCATTAGGGGTGTAAACACCTACATATGATTCACAAGATACACCCAGAGATTTCAAATGGGAATCCATAATTTCAAAAACATTCTGACCTGCTGTGGCCTTTCAGAGTTCTTCACAAGAGCATTGCTCTAATATTTTTCTGTATTCAAGAAATGTATGAAAGCTCAGAGTTGACATTTTCCAAGGGCCTTGAGTCTAAACAGGCTGAGAACTGCTGCACTAGAAGATAACATGATGCTATACATTTGAGCAGGTCCCAGTAGTGTCCTTATTTATTTGTTAACTGCTACCTTATAGCTTGTGCCTCTGAAATAGGCAAACTTTCAGCAGATTTGCAGATCAGAGAAGCTTACTGTTGGCACTAATGTTGAATGTCCCACTGTTTAGGCCCAAATCCCACCATTCACACATTCAGTGCATTTAGCTTTGTTACAGAATCCTCCCTGACATCATTTAGGACTTTCATACCATACTCTGACAATGTTACAAATTTAACCAAATAGAGTTTTGACTTTATTTTTCCCTCTGTTTCCATTCCCCCACCACCAGCATACACACATACACCTCCTTGTGAGCAACCCACATTCTGGATGATAAAAAAATGTATCTTAACTGAACCTCTATTTAGGATACTGGTCACTTTAAGAGGCCAAAGGAAGGTCTATGCCTAAGTGTGTGGCACCTGGAAGTGATGGCTGTTGAGTTACAGGGATGGGAGACAGGTACCACAAAGCTCTCAATCTGATGCTGTCAACAGTGCTAGAGGGCAGTGTGGAGCCAACTCCTTCAGTGCAAAAAGGCATTTACACTGGAATCAGGAGATGTGACTGCAGTGCAGATAGCCATATCCCTACCAGCTTTCATTCAGCCGGCTCAGACATCAAAAGCAGTGAAGACCATGGGCTTCGGTATGATCTGTACAAGCCTGCTGAAGACCCTGAGTACATACATACAGGAGGCTAGCCAATGCTGAAGCCCTTGCAACCAAGTTTTTGCTGCTACTAGTACCTGAGCTAGCTGGTAAAATCTAAGTTGGTGTCTGACTACATGTACGGCAGTTGCAGCTCCTGGCTGCAGGGTAGAGGTTGCCTTACAGGTGCATACTGACAGAGCTGGGGTCATCTCTGCTGACAGCCCAGGCTGGAGGGTCCATACACATACATCCCCGGACTCCCAACACTGTTCTAAGAGTGGATCCTTTTTCTCACAGACATGACCTGAGTTCTCCAATATCTACCAGCAGTGGAAAATATTGTCACCCAGTAATCTGCCCCTTTGCCTACTCCCTGCATATCAGAGCAGTGACCGGTTCTATCTCTGAGTGAAGGGGGCGGGGGGGGAGAGGACAGACCAGATTTCTTTAATTAAAAGAAAAAGGATCAGGTTCACTCCAGATAAGCAGGCAGGATTAAAATAGACAGAAAGAATAGACAAGGGGCAGCTGTCAGCACTCCAGCCAATCCAGAATGATTATTAATAATGATAAGCAGGAGAAGAGGGATAATAAAGGGATAATGAAGTGGTCCTGAAAGTGACAGGAGATGAAGCCTGATAATGGGGCCCATAACCCTGTGTTACTCCTGAACCACAGAGGCCTAATACAGTCCTGGCTGGTGAGGTAGGCAAGAAAAGCAGGAGACGGAGAAGGAAAAGAGGGGGCACATCCTGCACACTAACCTCAGTAGAGAAATTCGTAGACTCAGGCTCTGAACCTGACTTGCATACTTCTCATGAAAGATGCTCTTGGCTACACAGTGCAAATGATTGGGTACCTACTTTCGAGTGCAGGCAATACTGGTAGAGGGGTTGGATGGGCTCTCTTGGGAAGATTGGCTGGAGATGAAAGCTGAATGTAGGTTCCAGGGCTTCAGATGCAGGGGGTATAACTCAAGCAGTAGGTGACATATCACTAGGATGCCGGAGTACCTCTTGTGGTGGCTCTATTGCAGTGATTCTTAACCAGAGTATCAAAGCAATGAGATCTTTTGAAGGGTTCCTTGAGGTGTGGGAAGATAAGCAAGCACGAAGAGATAAGTCCAGGCTCATGCTTGTCTGTGTCTAGCTGCTTCCCCAACTGCACTGCCTGTCCCCACTGCAGGAAGGGAGGGACTGTAATAAATACATGAGTGTTGGCAATGGGGTGCTGTTCAAATCATAACAGTTATGGAGGGGACCTCATGTCTAAAAAAGATTGAGAACCACTGGTCTAGTGATACCAGTGTGCTGGTACAATGGCAGCTTCTCTTCCCATCACACTATCAGGGTGCTGGTAAGAGTTATATGCAGGATCGTCCAGTCCTATTGTGAGTGATGGTCTCTTGTAATTCTTTGTGTAATCTTAGGACTTGCCCTGAGAAAAACTATCTAGGTCTCCTTACATTTTCTGCTCAGAGATGGACTTTCTCCAGGTTTCAAAGTGTGAATAAAGGCAAGGTGGAACCCCTGCCCAAGGTGTCACAAATGCTCCATGGGTAGCTTCTCCTCTACCACTTCTTCTCTCTCTCCTAACAGTAGCTGCCTTTTCTGTAACATTTGTTGATAGCACATATTAAACTCTGGGATATAACAGGAATGAATTAACAAATTAACACCCTCAAAGTACTTATCTACTCACTTTCTGCACAGACCACACCCTGGGAGAGTCACTCACCTGCCGAACTGTGAACTGGGATGTACCACTTCTCAGGAAAGATGCTATGTCAGGATACCTGCCTTAGGGCCAGTGCAGGGCACCAAATTTGAATAACTGCCTTACAGAGGACCCAGAGCTGGGATTTAGAGCCCAGTGCCTTGTGAGGCACCCAAGTAAATGTAGAGCTGACAGTTTTTGGGCAGCAGGGTAGAAATAACTGTGGATTAGTCACTACCTTGCCTAATGCCAACCACTGGACATACCCAATAGTGTTGGCATTCTCCTCAGGAGAAGTGGCGTCTATTGGCGCACTCAGCCTGGCAGAAAAGCGCATTGAGACAAAGGGCCATGCAGCCTGGTCTAAACCCACTATAGGCAACGAGCTGCACCCACCAACACCAAGGCTGGTTACAGCCCTGGCACCCTAGTATATCTTTGGTGGAAGAGGCACAAGTTGTAGAACAGAAGAAGGGGTGTTTGGAGGGAGCCAATTTTTTGGAGAAGACAATCTTGAATTTAAGCAGCATCTGAAGTACCAAAACCAATGAGGCCTTGCAAAGCCCCATATTTCCAAGAAGCAAAATGAGAAGGGCTGGAAGTACAGGATAATGGGGTCCCTGGCCAGGAACAGACAAGGAAATAGCTCCCAGCTAAAGACTTATTCCCTGTTGTCTGGAGACCTTTAACAGTGGTGGCAAATAAGGGGATTATGGGGATACAAGCCACAGAGCTTTATGGTGTGACTGAAAAAGCATGCTGGAGGGCTTGTTCTGTGGGATACCAAGAGTTGGAACTGTTCTGGGAATATTTGGGAGATGATGAACTGCAGAAATTCAGGTGCACTACTGTTTTAATAGCCCTTCTCCCCCTGTCCCAGAACATTTAATGTCCTGCAGAGAGAAAGGGTCCAAACCAATCCCCATGATACTCCAGTGCCTCCTCTGCTCACACACAGTCACTGTGCAGGAGGAAAGCAGCGGCTGGAGCCTGGAGGAGGGGAGAGTGGAGGAAGGCTAAGCTCTGGCTCACGCTCCCTCACTCTGTGATCCTGCCACTCCAGGTCACTGCAGCAGATGCTGAGAGCATATGCCATGAATTAATTCCACTTTCCCCGAGACACTCCAGCAAGAGGAACGGCAGTACCTTTCCAGCTGATTAACATAGCAGCTCCCCCATACTCCCCCTCCCCTCCGTCACTTTGTCACACTTAATAAACAGCCAGGCAGAGTCCCATTAAGAGGCTCCTTGTTGGCAAATAGACTCTTCAATGGAAAGTTGCTGAGAAATCTTGACTGCCTTAATTTCAACTTTGATGATCAGCAAACGTGTGGATAGTCTCTGCCCACAGGCCTCACTCAGTGGCAAACTAGACTTTTCTGCAAGGCCACCACCTTCAGTCCAAGCCCAGGACTAGAACTCTGAATTCAGTTCTCAGCTCTCAGAAGCTCGGTGGTCTCCATGTCTGAGGTAGGGAGCAGAAGTCACAACTCCTGGCTTCTAAGCCTGATTCTGTCACTGACTTGCAGGGTAAGTTCCTTTCCCTTTCTCAATCAGGACTCATAGTAGAGATGATATCTTTTATTAGACCAACAAGATTTTTGCAAAAAAAAGTCTTTAATTTTTTGCAAAAATCTTGTTGGTCTAATAAAAGATCTCTACTATGAGTCCTGATAGCCTTTTCCTCTAGACCAATACAGCTACAACCTGGATACCTTCCCCTTTCTCAGGCCTCATTAAAATAGGGATAGTGACCCAGACCTACCTCCTAAGAACAGTGCGCCGTTTCATTAATCAGTGTGCAGTAAGCTGAATTCCTGAGACATCGGGGGTAATCTAAACACAGAGGATAAACATTTCTCTAGGACAGAGGTTCCCAAACTTTTTCTTATTGCGTACCCTCTTCTATATTTACCAGTTGTCCACATACCCCTACCAACATAATTTTATATTTTAACCCCTTAAATGTCAATTATTATCATCATGAAAATTAAATCCGCCATTACACAATTGCTCCAAAGTACCCTCCAGAGACGTCTTGCATACCCCCAGAGGTACGTGTACCACAGCTTGGGAACCCATGCTCTAGGACAATTCCTAGGGCCTCAACTAAGCATCAGCCTCAAGGAAAGATCCCATATCCCTGGGCTGTGTAGGTTGGGCTGTTGACTGAGAACCAGACTGGCCCCCCGGGGAAAAGAAATCACCTAAAGTTGAATTATAGTGCCACCCAGATTAGTTACAAGGAAAAATCTGCACCTGACATTTCAATGTGTCCAGATACTTTCCACAAGACTTAAAAAAAAACCCAGTCAAGGTTCACAATGCAGCTCTGTCCCAGCCAGCATACCTGGATGCCTTCCAGCACAACCAAGAACCCTGCAAACACACCTCATTGTTTTCATTTGGCTAATGCAGTAATGAGAAGCAAGTCATTCTCTCACAGCACCCAAACCCGTGAAAGGGGATGCAGCAGTTCCCAGTCACATTCCAAACACTACAGTGCAACCCAAGTAGGATCCTGAAAGACAGGCAGACAGGAATGACATGCTGGATGAAGGACAGGAGCCAGGCAATCCCAGCTTCCTTCTGCTACCTGGGAAAGGAACTGGAGGAGCATGGAAATTAGGCTCAGTCTATTACATTTATTGAAGGAAGTTAAAGAGACAACTTGATTACAGTGTGTTTAAATATCTAATTGGGGATTAGCTATCTGACCACCCTGCCGGGGCTTTTTAATCCAGCAGAGGTTTAAGACAAGTCACGGGCTGGAAGGTGAAACTCAAAACTTCAAACTTGAAATAAAGCACGTTTTCTCTAACAGGGATGGTACTTTGCCACTGGAAAAGCCTACGGAGGGGCCTGGGCAGCTCCCCACCAGCTCAAATCTTTAAATCAAGACTGGCTGTCTTTCTAAAAGATAGGCCCTAGTTCAACCACAAACCACCAAGCTGGCTGCAGCCCTGATGTACGGCCTATATTACTCAGGCAGCCAGACCACCTGGTCAGAACAGCCTCAGCTTGCCTTAAGCTACTCAAATCCACTACCTCTCTCTTTTCTAACCTAAGTATCTGTTGTTAAGTAAAGCTGTGCTTGGCTCCTGTGAGCCTTGCCATATGTGACAGCTACAGCCCAGGGCTGCCCCATCACAGCCCCAGAGGCCCAAGTAAGAGGCTGCACCGCATGGGGAGGCACACAGAGCTGCAAACCAGCAGGTCTCGTCCCTGGAGGACTTGCAAAGAGGAGCTTCAGGCTGTTTTCCCTCAGCTCCTCCACGCCTCTGCCCACCTGTAAATTCCCCACTCTGCTCCAAAGGCTTTTTTTTTTTTTTTTTTTTTTAATTATTATTACTTTCCCTGCTCCAAGGTCCTGGTCTTTTTACATGTCCTCTCACCTCCCTTTCCTCCAACATGCCCTCACCCTGCTGCTCCTCTCAAACCACTCACCATCCTCCTTCCCTCCTCCAGGCACCCCACTCTGGCACCTGCCCTACCTCTCCCACAAACCCCCTTCTCTCTCCAGTTGCTATCAGTCCCCACCCTGTTCCTTCAGTTAATCATCCCCAAGCCCCCAAACTTGTGTCCCACAGGCTCCCTTTGCCTCCAGCCTTCTCCAAAGTGGCTTGAGCCATCTTGTGGCCCCAATATTCCTCCTGTCCTGCCCCAAAAAGGAGGCGCACCTCCCCACTCTGTCCCAAAGCCCAGGGTTCATCTCTCTCCCAAAATGTTGTCACCCAGATCCCCTACGTTTCTCACCCACCCCCAAACCCTTCCAGGGACTTCCACGCCCCAGGGCCCAACTCCTTGAACCAGGGATCGCACCTAGGAGTTCCCCCAGTTCCTTTCCCTCGTACCTGAGTCTCCTCTTGTGGGCATGGCTCTCCTAGGACGATCTGCCCCCCATCGCTTGGCCTACCTCCTCCACTTCCCATCTCAGGAGCTCAGCAAGCAAGCAGTGACCTGCCCACCCAACAGAAGCAAAGCAGCCCCTGGAGGCAGGAATCTGCACTGCAAACCCCCAGAGAGAAGGCTGTTGTTCTATAGTATACCATAGCTACTGAGACATTGTCTCCACTCTGCCTCTGCATTCCCAAAGGCACATGCATATCCATCCCTATGCCCCTGGCAGCTCCACACAGCTGCACTCAGCAGCTGTGCCACCATAGGGCAGAGTACACTCTGGGAAGGCACCAGCTGCTAAAGGAAGCACAGCAGCCACAGGAAAGCATAGGAATGAATATCTACAGGCACTTTCCATCAGCAGATCCTTCTCTACTCAGCAGAGAGGGTTTATCTCTGCCAGCAGGGCAGAGGGCTCTGCAGCCACACAGGAGCTTTCAGTGTGCATGTTCAACATTTACCACCAAAACTGTGTAGCGTAGGCTTGGCTAAAACTGCCTCCCTTCATAGATTCATAGATTCATAGATGTTAGGGTCAGAAGGGACCTCAATAGATCATCGAGTCCGACTCCCTGCATAAGCAGGACAGAGTGCTGGGTCTAGATGACCCCAGCTAGATACTCATCTAACCTCCTCTTGAAGACCCCCAGGGTAGGGGAGAGCACCACCTCCCTTGGGAGCCCGTTCCAAACCCTGGCCACTCTAACTGTGAGGAAGTTCTTCCTAATGTCCAATCTAAATCTGCTCTCTGCTAGCTTGTGGCCATTATTTCTTGTAACCCCCGGGGGCGCCTTGGTGAATAAATACTCACCAATTCCCTTCTGTGCCCCCATGATGAACTTACAGGCAAGCACAAGTTTGCCTCTCAACCTTCTCTTGCGGAGGCTGAATAGATCCAGTTTCTCTAGTCTCTCCTTGTAGGGCTTGGTCTGTAGGCCCTTAACCATATGAGTGGCCCTTCTCTGAACCCTCTCCAGGTTATCCACATCCCTCTTGAAGTGCGGCGCCCAGAATTGCACGCAGTACTCCAACTGCGGTCTGACCAGCGCCCGATAGAGGGGAAGTATCACCTCCTTGGACCTATTCGTCATGCAGCTGCTGATGCACGATAAAGTGCCATTGGCTTTTTTGATGGCTTCATCACACTGCCGACTCATGTTCATCTTGGAGTCCACTAGGACTCCAAGATCCCTTTCCACTTCCGTGCCACCCAGCAGGTCATTCCCTAGGCTGTAGGTGTGCTGGACATTTTTCCTCCCTAGGTGCAGCACTTTGCATTTCTCCTTGTTGAACTGCATTCTGTTGTTTTCTGCCCAGTTGTCCAACCTATCCAGATCTGCTTGCAGCTGTTCCCTGCCCTCCGGCGTGTCCACATCTCCCCATAGCTTTGTGTCATCTGCAAACTTGGACAGAGTACATTTCACTCCCTCGTCCAAGTCACTGATGAAGACATCATCACCTTCTCCCCTCGCATCCACCTTCTCGCTGTTGGTTGAAAATCAGGAGGGGAAAAACACAGTGTTGTCTTTCTCTCCCAAGTTTAAGTCTAGGAGGCAGATATGTGCCCCCTCATTCTAAAAAATCTGTGCTAAGCAAGTGCATAGTCCATCTTCCACAGGAACAACAAGGGCTTTTATCTCACCCAGCAAAGGAGATGTGGATTCAAGTTCCACTTTCCCTCCTTCACTCTGAAGCCAGGGTGCCCAGCCTGTAGGGAGTAGAGACGTCTCCATTGAGCGAAGCAGAATTGTATCTCCAAGGCAACTTCTTCAAAGCACCTGGTTCTAGCAGAAGAAAAAGGAACCTCAGAAACGCTTGGGGACCTTATGACTTCTGTCTCTCCTAGACGGTTATGTGGTACCCATAGCTACAGCATCTAAGCACCTCACAACCTCTAATGAATTTATCCTCAAAGCATTCATATGAGGCAGGAAAATGTTATTATCCTGGTTTTATGCATGTGGAACTGTATCACAGAGGCGATGACTTGCCCAATGCCTCACAGGACCTCCTTCACCTCTGTGAAGGAGAACAGATGTAAACCAAAGTCTCCCAGCCCTAGACAAGTCTTTACTGCTAGGCCATCCTTCGTCTCTTAATCTCCTATCACTTCAGAGAACTCTGCCTTCCTAAATCCTTAAGCAAAGCTCATCAAATAATGGGCTGAATCAATATTGTGGACCAACTTCAGCCCAAACAGCCAGGGAATTTGGATTCACAGTTCTGTTTGCCCTTGTACTGGGGAGCCTGTGGCTGCTCCAGTCATTTCAAACTGACGAGCGGTCACTTAATTTTGCCAAAAGGGCTAGAAGAAGAGTTCTCAAGTGCACTGACCCTGATGATCTTGTCTGGGGCCTGATCTCTCAGAGTGGAATGTGGCACCCCACAGTACCTCACAATGCTCATACCTCCTTTTCTTAATTTCCCCTTCCAGTTTGAAGTACTTTTCTGCCCTTCTCATCAGCAAACTGGAAGCAACTCCAGCAGTCTGAGGGGAGGAGCAGAGGGACAGGTTAGGACAATGCAGCAGCCTGCATGATGCAAAGACACAGGCCTCAGTGGAAATACTGGGAGCTACAATTCCTGAGGCTACCCCAAGAGGACCCAGAGATAGATGCGTTCCCTCCAGCTTTCAGAGATGCTAGGATCTGGAGGTGTCAGCAGAAGAGTGGGGTAATATGGAATCTGACCTCACAAGGAAGCAAGAGACTTGTACAAATAAGTCTCACAGCTTATAATTAAGGAGAAAGATGCTCCACTGCCTGCATGGATCTCGAAGGATGTTCACCCCAATCTCACTTCCTAGGTATGCATCCAGTCTCCTGAGTCAGTTTGTTTTGATGAATTTTAATGAAAGGTTTTTCTATTGGGATGTGGGAAGCACCTTCCATCCCCCCAGCAAAGGAGCCTGTATAGGCCTTGTTGAAAGCGAGAGTCTGAGCGAGAGGGGAGGAAGGGCGTTCGTCTGGGATGTCTCCGTGGGGAGCAGCTTGTACAAATTAAGCTTCTCTGCAG